TGTGTGTTTAAAGAAAGCAACTCCTTTAAAAATGAATTACTTTAGGACGGAAGACTACTCCACTTCTTCATCCACGTCAGGTTACTAAAGACAAAACCACTTAAATTACATGGAAAAAGAAGTATGCCCTTGTTCTCTTAATTCACCATGAAATAATTCTTAATTGTCCCGAATTCATGTTATTTTTAGTTCAGTGACTATGTTGTCACTTTGGTTGGCCCTGTTCGGGGGACTCTGCAAACGGACCCTGGCTAGGCTGCTATTGCTTTGGCTAGAAATTTGGAACATGACAGAACAAGCAGAGATCTCACATTTATTAGTTAGAACTTGGGGCCTCTATTTCAGAACTTCAATATCTATTAATAAACTGTGGCAGTGTGGACCTGCCATCTGCTGACAAGACAAACTTGATAACACAAAAGTAAAGCTTTGATTACTCAAACTTTCTTCTGAATTTTTCATGCAATCTTTTAAAGCCTGCCATAAGACATCTGATCCTCTTAATAAGCCCTTCTTTTAAATAATATGCCTCTATCATCTTTTAACCTACCACACACAATACAAAAATTACTGTGGCTATCTATTCAGTGTGCTAACAATTTCAGATTTCTCCTGAAACCAGTGATCACCAAGTTTTACATGGACAATTTATTAATAATTCTGGATATCCATAATTAAATGCTGATCAACAAATCTATGGACTCAGTTTATTCAAGCCACTGTAAATTAGGTTCTTCTCTATTATTAGTTGCCCATATACTTATAACCTAAAACTACAATATACATATTATTGCCAAAGTTCTTTGTATATTTCTCTTTAAAACAAAACCTTTGTGTGTCTCTATAACAAACCTTAAGAACATACAAATGCTGTGGAGGTTGTATGTGCCTTGCTCATACGCTATACTTGAGATCAACATGGTCTCCTTTTTAAAAAGCAACTATGCCAAATAGGGTCTTTTTAACATTTTAGTAAAGGCCCACCAATACATAGCTTATTCACAGCACCTGATCCTTTACAGCATCTTTTACCCCTGCTAAATAGAAGTATTTGCTAGATATAATGGAGTTTAATGCCATCAACATTTAGAAAGAGAATCAGATTTCTAGTGTAAAAGCTACTTTAGCGGAATCACCAAATTATCTTAACCTCCGGTTTTATCACACGTAATATAAGAGGACCAGATGAGCATGAAATTCCCATGATTATGCCGTGTAACTTCATTTACTCATTCAGTGAGTATTCAACAACCTTCTAGGTACTAGGCATTCGAATTACAAGTGTGAGTAAGACAGCTTACATTTTGCTGGGTGATACACAATTTTGGTTACTCGCAAGTGTCATAAAGGATAATAAAGGTGACAAAGATCTAGGTTGTTCAGGGAAAGCTTCTTTAAGAAGGAAAATCTGAGGCAGGGCTTGAAAGGTGAGAAAGAGCCAACCAATGAAGTTCTAAGGGGCAGCTGGGAGAGCACTTCAGGCAGAGGAACCACTGCAAAGACAATTCATCTTGGTGCCTTTCAGAACCTATGATGCCCACTTTATAGAAAATCTAGTTCCAAACTCTTTTCCACTTACTCAGTGGAATCTTCTGCAATTAATTCTACTTTCAAATTATAGCTTAAGTGCTCAATTTACATTATATTCATAGTTTTAAATCTGTGGTTCTGAAAATATTTTTATTAATTGTTCTGTTATTCTAGTCTCATAACAGGTCAAAATTTTTAAGGACAGAATCCTAAGAGTCTCCTATCCATCTGCTAAAGTACCTTGACAGTATTGTGCATGGAGGAGAGTGCTCATTAAATGACCAGGACCAACTATAAAGGAAAAAAGTATTCTGTTTTTCCATTCAGAATAGTACTTCAGAAACAACTAAAGCAACGCTGTAAATCCAGTGGAAAGAGCACCTGACTAGTGAATAAAAAACCTCAAAGTCAATCCCCAGCTCTACCACTTCCTTGGACATGAGGTTTCTGGAAAATCAAACCCTATGACTAATTAATACCTGTAAAATGGGACTATCTTTTATCCTGTCTAGGATTAGTTGGTTGCCAACTACATTCCATGAGAGATCATGATTACTGTTTCTAAAAGTTACTGTGGAAACAGAGTAGAAATACTGGAAACATATGTTTTCATTTTAGAACAGGAAAGGATCTTAAATGATCTTGTTCCATCCCTCATTTTACACGAGAAATCAAAGGCTCAGAAAAATGAGGTGACTTGCTCAAAGTTAAGAAATATAACAGAATCAGCAAGGCATCTAAATTTTCTAAGTACCCAGCCCAGTACACTTTTCACCACACCACACTGCCTTACCACTTCTTAAAACCTAGTCCCCAGTGTACGTACCTCACTGTTTATCATTCTCTACATTCACATCCTGGTTGGTAAAAACTAAAAATACAAAAAACAAAAAACCTCCCCCCAAAACCCAACCTATGTAGGTTTCTAGGTCTGAGACCTCACATAATTTGGTAACAGAACTGAATTCAAGAAGTGCCACACTGATATTACTAAGTCACAAATATTAGGATTGTAAGGATTAAAATCAGCTAATGCCTTAAGAATGTGCATCTTCTAAATGATTGCACATTTGGCCTGTGGCTGGAGTGTTTTTCTTAAAATAGTTTCTAACTGAATCTATATAATGCTGATTCAATTACATTGTTATTTGAGAAATATAGAATATGGTTTTATTTATAGGCAATATGCTTGTACCATGTAAAATATTGAAAGCAATGTAAAATACTCCATTTCTGGTCATCTTTCTCTGTTCTCTTATTCATGATTTTAACCCAGAAGCAGAATCTACGATGAGAAGTAGGTGCTGAGTGCCCATGGTGCACTTTGTGTTGTATTACACTGTTTTAATGTGCACATGAAGAGTATGATGGAAATTATGTAATGATTTCAACATCAGATAAATCCAAATTCAATCTTTAAAGTGAAAATAAAGCAGCTATTAAAAACTGAGAAAAATTAAATGAGTGTTTAATATAGAAAATTTCATCTAAAAACAAAAATCTACTCCTTAGGAATATCCTAAATATACTGAAGAACTGTTGAAACATTATCTGAACTGAAAGCAGGGTCTTTGGAAACATAAAAACCTAATCAGAAATTATACGCTTTGGGGGAAAAGCAGCAAAATGATAAATGTCTCCTTAGTAACTTTCATTCTTCCAAGAGGGAAGAATATAAAATGCTTTAGAAAGCAGTGTATAAAAACTATGGTTTTAAGAATTAAATGATGTAAGTTTGTGAAAGCATTTGGTAGACCATGAAATACAAGTTATTATTATATAGCAATTTGCAGTCTACAAGCATAGCAGTTTGCCACAGAGTAGACGTAAATGCTTATTTAAAAACTGCAATTCTTTTATACTGACTCACTGAATTTTTATTCTTAAAAAAGAAAGAATGTTAGCCATGAAAGCTGGATCAACTATCTACTTCTGAAAAAGGAATTTATCATAGCATCAACAGAAAACAAGCACACACACACTTCCCCCTTCTTTTCAAAATACAGGTCCTTCTTTTAGCCGTGTGACCTTAAAGCAGGACACTGTTACTCTCTGGAACTCAGTTTCCTAGTAATATGTGTTAGGCACTGTGTTGGATGTTTTGCATTTATTGCCTATTAGCATATGTTATACAGATAAAATGAAATAGAAACTATTATCCCTTTTTTATACTTAAGGAAACTAAAGCTTTAAAGGGATGAGTTAGGGTACTAGGGTACTTGCTCCAAATCATACAGCTAATAAGTAGCACAGCTGATATACTGAACGTTCTAACTCCAAAGACCTTTTTCTTTCCACTTACACTGCCTTGTAAAATGAGGCTGTCGGGCATGATTTCTAGGTTACTTTATGCGGTCAAAAAATATGATTTAGTAATCCATTATTCTTCCAATACATGCATACTAAAAAATTTATTTGCTGGATGATAAGTATCTCATTTTTAGCTTGCCATTACCTAAAAACAATTTTGTATTTTTAAAGTAGAAATACCTCTTTGAGAGTTTATAATATAGGACATACAAGATTCTTCATGGCGTATGTAATACAAAGTGTTTAATATTTTAAAAAAATGATAAATGGTAACTGATAGATACTTTCAACCAAGTTTTAACATGTTCTTAAGTGTGTCTTTAAAATATACATACACAGTTTCTACTTTTCTAAATCTAAGATCCTTTGAACCAATCCACTCCTCCTAAATTTGAAAAGTAGCAATGTATTAAAGGCACATTACCTTGCTCTAAAATAAATTATTGTGGAGTAAAGAATGGACTCGGTTTTTCTAACAGCGATTCTTGGTCTGGTGTTAGTTACATTCTGGTTGTCATTAGTTATCTCTTCCGAATGTTACTTGAAACATCTTTTCATCGTAGACCAGTCTATATTACTAACGATGAAATCTACTTAAGTTATTACAATTGAAAACAGAATATTTAACATTATTACTGCTCTATGGAACTGGCGAATCTGAGAACCACACCGTACTCAGGGAAACACTTTATTAGACATGTTAATGTATTAATTTACCAATTTATTGAACATGCACTACGCGCCAGGCACTGAGCTAGAACATAATACAATTCTTGACTCTTAAGAACACCACGTCTTAGCGAATTCAAACTCCAAAACGGCCACGGTCTTTAATGAATTTACTACTTACAGATAAGAGAAGTAACTAGCGGACTACACTATCTCACCAGTTCATCCTCTGGTTTGAAAAGACCCAAATCCAGGCACCGGAGTATCAAATCCAAACTCGAGTGCCGAAGTGAGTTAAAAAGAGGGCTACCCCGGAGCACTTGAGCGCGGAGAATCCCTTCTACACCCTGTCTCTGTTGGGGTGTGGGGACTCCTGGTGCACGCAGCGGGGCCCCGCGGATCAGAGGGGCGGGGGAGGTGCCTTAGGAGTCGTTGGCAGGCAGAGGCGGGGACGGGCCGGCGCCCGCGCCTCCGTGCCAGGCCTCGCTCACCTCTTCCACCTCGATCTCCTTGTAGTCGATCTCTTCAAAGTTGAGGACTTGAGAGGGGGCTTCGATCATCTCACCGGCCGACGACGAGGAGGAGGAGGAAGCGGCGGAGGCTGTAGACATGATCCCTCGCGGAGCCCGGGAGGCCCAGGGAGGCTGCCGCCCGGACACTCCGGGGGAGACCTGCGCCCACCCGCCTCCGGACCGACCTTCAGCCTGGAGCCACGGCGATCCGTGGCGGGGACGAGAGCAGCGGCCACAGCCGAGTCCCGGCTCTGGCTCCGCTGCGTTTTCCGCCGCCGGGCTCCGCCCACTGGACTTCCGGTTCCGGCTTGAAATCGGAAACAAGAGGGCTGGGTGCTCAAGGGAGGGGACGGGAGAGTTCTGCGGCTGAGACAGAAAAAGGAAGAACAGACTGGGGGTCGGGTGCAGGACAGTGAGAGTCTAGCTTGGACCTGTAGAACAAGTTTCGCGAGATCTTTGTCAAAGGGCTTCAGTAACCTAATGATAGCGCGAGAGCTGACGTAATTAAAATGCGCGAACGGAAGCGGCGCGTCGCATGACGGACTATCGATGTGGTTGGTCCTTTTGGAACCAGCGGGAAAGATAAAAGCTGTGTTTAATTTAGCTTGGGGAACTGTTGTGGTCCCGCTGCCTTTTCTCTGAGACCTGCAGTCAGAGGGGTAGCGTTGGACTGAGTTTTTGTGACCGAAGCTTACTTTTCAGTTTCAGCCCTAAGCTACGGTGAACTGTTTAAGAGACTTGAAAAAAATGTGTTTTCCTCAACGTCTTATATGGAACGAAGCAGTTGCCACTGTTACTTTGAGCCATTCCCTGACGCTATGAGAGATTCTAAAGAAAATAATACAGAGCGAGCCAGGACATGTAACCTGAATAAACTATGTAGGCTGAGTGCTCACGAACAGAAGTTAATATTAGGTAAGGTAGATATTTATAATTTGGCGTCATTTGTCGTGTTCATCTGAAGATGGATTGTATTAATAGTACGGTATCGAATGTGAAACATTTAAAAGTCTTAAACTTGCAGTTGAATATTAATAGACTTGAAAATCAAATATTTTTGTTGCTGTTGTCAGGATATGAGAAAATAGGCTCAGACAGAGCAAAACAATTACGATCCTAACAAGCTAGTAGAACCTAGGTCAGTATATCTCCAAGGTAGATAGTATCGCCTGTGTACTGTTGTTAATGGATAGTTTTAAACTATCTATTAAACTTTACTTAGCTGGTTTGGCCTAAAGCCTACCTGGCAAAATTGGAGTTAGACATGAAGGTTTAAGGACCAAGAATGCAACCCTGGAATGTCAGAGATAGATGTAAAAGGAACACTCATAAAGGAGGAAGGTGAGGGGAATGGTGATCTGACTCACTGGAGGAGAGAGCTTTCCAATTAAGGAGTAGCCAACCAAAGAAGTGCCTTATAGATAAGTTAAACACATTTGGGATTTCAAGTAGGTCATTGTATTTTGCAATCAAGAAGTTATGAACTTGTAGAAAACATTCTGTCATTTTTTATTCGTAATTCTAGTAACACTCAATGATAGTTTGGTGAATGGATAAAAAAATGAAAGAAAAATCCCTTCTCACTGTACACTCTCTGGTGATCTTAGGGTATTGATTGACTATCTATATACTTTTACAATGGTGACTCCCAATCTCTCACAATGCTCCAGTTTTTCCTGCATTCTGTACCTATGTGATATTTCTATTTAGATGTAACAAAATACTTAAACTTCAATATTACAAGAACAAATTCCAAAGTTTATCACCCACCACAAATAAGTTCTTCTGTGGGCATATTCTACCTTTATGAAGGATCCCGTCATCTCGGCTGTCCAAGTAAAACCAGGGCTTTATTAGTGCAATAACCAAACTGAAGCCGATTAAGTCAATGGGATAACCATTTTTGCCTGTCATTTCTCTACTTGAATTCCCAAACTATTAACCTTGTACTATCATTCTGCAGGTCATATCTGGTTTCTCTTTAACACCTTGATATTAATGTGGTAGATGCTACCAAGTGGCAACTCAAGAAACACTTGTTTTATGTTCTGGATGAATGAATAGCTTTTGTCAGCTCTCCCTTTCCCTGGGGTGTAAGATGTGTTTTCTATACTTTCAGTTAGGACTAGAATCCTGCTGACAAGGACTAATCACTACAGCCATGATGCTGTTCTGCTTAATTCCACCCTCCCCCAAATTTTGTTATGAAAAATAGCAAACATAGAAAAAGAGTGAAAGAATTTTTCAGTGAACACCTGTATACTTACCACCAAGATTCTGCTATTAACATTCTACTGTACTTGCTTTATCAAGTATCTGTTCGTCTATTCATCCACCCGTACATATATGCATCTACTTTTTGTTGATGCATTTCAAAGTGAATTTCCTACATGAGTTTGGGCATCTTCTACCCCAATACTTCTGCCTCCATTGATTGGGACTTCTGATATTGATACTAGTCTAGTGTCAATTCTTGTCCTATTTCCATGAGGACTACTTCCTTTTTGGGTCTGGGTGGCACCTTTTCACTAGGTCCTGATAATAAAGTCCCAGCAGTGTTCATGTCTCTGGATCCAGTCATCCCCAAGGTCCAATCCACCTCTCTCATTTTGTGATTCGGTTTTATGAGCTATCAAATTTCCACTTTTATTTAAGCTGATTCAAGATGTATTTTTTCACTTGCAATCAAAGAATCCTAAATACTACAGTTTGAAGCATGAGAAATGAGGGAGGAGGCTGAATCCATGTTAGTTCGCCTCAATTTTGACTTGACATTCCCTTTAACTTCTTTAATTTTGTGAGTTAATGATGGAAGCTTGGGCCTCAATTTAATGTCAGTTATCCACAATGTACCCGGTAAGAGTGGGCCTGCGATTTCCTGTATAAATAAAGTTTCTCTTTGATGATGACTGTCAAGAATTTGAAGAGATCATCCTGAAAGTATTGATCAGAAATTGATAGTCATTTCAAATATAAAATCTTATATTAAGAAGTTATATTTATGAATGAAAGCATATTAAAATGTTAAATGTTTGAAAGGTATATGTGATTTATGCAAATTTGATGTTTAACATTGTGTCTAATATCTTGTATTTATTTTTCAAAATTATGTAGTGTTAGAAAAGCATTTTTTTGGAATTAAGCCCTAAATAGTTACCTCCAAATCCTTCATATCAGTGTATCTTACAATGTTATCATTTTCAACATGAGCCATAGTGTGAAGAAGTTTGAGAAACGTTGAGTAAGGAGGCTGTTGCAGTAGTCAAAGTAAGAAAAAATAGTGGTTTGAGCAACATAGTGGCCATAGAGGTTATAGATTAATGGGTAGATTTGAGAGAGATTTAGGAAATGGAATTGGTGGGATTAGTGATGGACTGAATGTGGGGGAAGGAAGTAAAGGGAAGGGCAATATAAAGGCTGATTCTTAGATTTCTCACTTGTGCAACTTGGATAGGAGGGGTGCTATCTATTTACAGAAGCAGAGAGAACTGGAACAAGGTTGGGGGAGAAAAGAATAAAGAAATCAGTTTTAGATGTTGAGCTAGAAGTACCTGAGAAACTTCAAGTGTAGTCATCAAGTAGGTACTTTGTCTTGGAAGAAAGATGGAACTAGAGAAAACAGGTAACTGGCCTGTTGGTGATAATTAAGTCATGGAAATGAATGAGATTACCTAGGCAAGATATATAAAGTAAGAAAGATTAGGACTTAAAACAGAGCCTTAAAGAATAAAATGTTTCAGGCATGGGTGGAGGCTGAGGAACTGCCAAGCAAATTTGTGGACAACTCAAAATTATGATGTGGAAATCAAGATGAAAAGGTGTTTCAGTGTTGACTGCTTCCAAGAAGTTAAATATGAGGGGTGTCCACTCGTGGGTGTGTAAGGTTGCTTGCAGTATAGAGTTGAGTCCAGAACAGGAGAAAGGGAAAGGTCAGGAGCTAAAGGCTAGCTTATCTCATACCACCACTTTCTGGTGAAGGTAATATTGTCAAGGTAGAAGGGTGGAATATATTTTCTTTACCAGTTTGTTACCTTGCTTTAGAATGGACAAATATTTAGACATAAAGTATGTGGGCTTTCATTTATATTCACAAATGTTAGGAGGCCTGTTTTTATATGTGTTACATTTCTATTCCAATGTACTAGTGATCTATAGATAAGGGGTTACCAGCTTGGATTTGCAATTCCCCAAATTTCCCAGAGGTCTTTATTTTATCACTTAGGTCTTAGTTCAATTACTGCCCCAGAGGTAGTGATGTTAACTTCAGCTCCCTATCTCCTCACTCTCTGTTACTCAGTTTTCTTTTATTTCTAGCCCTTTACCTGTCTGACATATCTACTGATTTGTTGTTTTGTTTATTTTTTGTCCTCCTACCCTCTCCGTACTCCTGCCCATTGGGTGTAGTTACACTGGGACAGAGATCATAAGCTTTGTGTTCACCAGTGTTTCCTCAGGTTTAGGACAGCACCTGAAATGTAGTAAACACTCAATAGTTTTCTAAAAACGTTAAGTATCTGCATTTCTAAGTAAATGTTGTTTAATTTATTTCAGGTATAAGGAATGGGTTAGCCAAATATTTCCTGTAATATCATTGAAGGAAGATTTAATAGCTAAATTGATATACAAGTGGCATACCAATTATTTATCATGGGCTTTCTTAAGTATTTGAGAGTTTAAAAAATGCTTTGTTCTCCTGGTCATTTTTTTACTCTAACAAAAGGAGGAAAAATTTATGCAAATTGATAATCTCAATAGGACATCTCATCAAAATGTTACAAATTATCTAAGAAGAGGAATTTAGTGGCTGGAACGAACAAAGGTGGCTTTTTGGAAGGGAGGACATTGGGGCTGGATTTTCAAGTTCAACAACCTTAGTGATAACTGCATTCTCCATTGTTACTTGTGAGGGGTTTCGCTTGCTGAGGAGTTTCCCCCTGTAAGCCTTCATGTCTCCGTGTCTCAGACTGTAGATGGAAGGATTTAACACTGGGGTCATTGTGAGTTACATCCCAGTTATCACTGTACCCCTTAGGCTGTAACTACTCAGAGGGTAGAAATACATGCCCATGACTGTCCCTTCACACCAAGGAGCAACTGTGAGGTTTGACCACAGGTGGAGAAGGCTCTCCTGGTCAGTTGAAATATCTCTCCAACCTTAAAAGCTTAAAATTACTAATTTTTAGAATATTACTTCTAGATTTTGCAAGGGTAAGCTTTAGTTCCTCTTGTTTCCAAATGCTAATCTGTTTGGATTATTTATTGAAATTTAATAATAAGGTGTTATTGTGGCACTTATGATTGTTTTCACAAATAACTGATGTTTTAACTAAAATAAATGTAAAATTAGAATAGATTTTTATTTCTGAACTGAGGCAAGTTTGAACATCATGATGCTTAAACATCTCAGCATCTGTTTTTAAAAGGAGAAACTTAATCA